TTGTCTATCTATCTATCTATCTGTCTGTCTGTCTGTCTATCTGCAAGTTTGAAAACGAAGCTATTCGGCGAGACTTCCTCAATTTTTGAACAAGCGCAGCAATTCTGCAAGACTTCTCCAATTTTTGAACTTGACAACGTCAAAAACGAAGGAATTGTGCGAGACTTTCTCAATTCTTCAAGTTGACAACATCAAAAACGAAGCGATTTTGCGAGACGCCCTTCAAAAATGGAAAGTTGAGTGCAGAGCTGACGGCCTCGTACCCATGCGATTTGCGATTTTTCCGCTCCATGTGTCTAAACTGTGGCGCCTGCCACGAAAAAGTGAGGCCAACACGCAAAATCATCTTAGCAAACCTGAAGATCTGATGCTCGAAAATGCAACCCTATCAGGAAATCAATGCCCTGACCTCCTAACATCTCTGATGAACATGTCTCTTGTACTGCGTCTGCCACGCGAAATGCATCTTGGCAGATCCTCTTCAAATGTCCCATTTTTTCCAATGCTTTTGGAACTGCCACAAAACCCTCACTTTCTCCTCACTTTTGACAAGGTGCGCAGTCCCTTGCGCCTGCCAGGCACAACGGCATCTGCACTTTTTCGACATCTCAACTTCCAAACGTGTTCCGAACTTGTCAGTTTTTTTCACTTTTAACTTCGAAATTTGCTTCGCGCCACAACGGTGTGCACTTTTTCGACATCGCAACTTCCAAAAGTGCTCTGAGACCGTCAGTTTTTTAACGCTTTTGACTTCGAAATGTGCTTCGCGCCACAATGGCGTGCACTTTTTCGACATCTCAACTTCCAAAAGTGGTCCGAGAATGGTGTGTTTTGCACATTTTGACTTCGGAATGTGCTTCGCGCCACAACGGCGTGCAATTTGTCATCTCTCATCTGGCCAGATGGCTCCGCACCCGCCGCTTTAGCGAGCCTACTTTTCGACCTTCTGGAGACAAATCATTGAAAAAACGCAGTGAATCGCGACTTTTCTACCTTTTCCCGCGCTGAATCTTCTTTCTTGTGACTCTTTCTCATCTCTGATCTTCTCTTCTCTGACTCTTCCCACCTTTGCTTTTCCCTCTGTCCAGATTGTCGGAAATTTGACTTCTAAGTTTCCTTCGGGTATTTTCCATTGATAGATTGATATATTAGGCTGTAATGGTAGAGATTGGTCCTGGTGTGTGTTTCAGACCCGGTGTCCCCACAGGTTTTCATGTGCGAAACACGGCCGTCAACACAGGTCCCATGGAGATATCGAGATCTTTGGCCTGGCAGATGCTGGATTCTTCTTAGACTTGCCCAATATGAAGGCGCCCATCACTTCTCTCAGATGACGAGGAATTTCGAACAGCTGTGCGTATTATCATATCTTATCTGTATAGCTTTAGTGTATTTAACATATTGTACAAATATAGCTACGGGTACATGCGTATACTTATGCCCTTCAATCGGTGCAGAAGAAAAATAGACACTAGGGCAGCGCAGATCAGATTGTGTGACCAGAATACATCGTCTTACTTTCTTGACCAGTCTTTGTCACGAGTGCGCGCGAGCAAACATGTTCAATTCCCCTGGGATGATCCTGGAATACCCCGATCATGCCATGTCAGGGTGAGCGCTGCTGGCCAAATCAGATGAGAAGTATCTTCAATATCTCGAATGGATACAAGAGCTTGTCATCTACCTGTTTCTTGCCTATCAAGTTGGCGGGATTTTGGGTTGGCACCCATATTGCAGGGGAATGAAACATAATGAAGTAGTGTCTCTTGAACATGTGCTTTCCAAGCTTGGAAGAATTGCAACGAATCGCTGGAGCTCAAACTCGAAAATAGCCAAGAAAAGAATAGACATCAGAGTGCTGCCATCCAAAGCAGGCTGTTGCGACTGAAACCGTGGATCCCTGGCAAAGTTTACAAGAGTCCAGTTCAATCAACTGTGAAGGATTCTGCGAACACCTGTTTGTGAAGCGTGTTTCGGAGTTTCAATGAGGCTAGGGAAAGGGAAGGTAGGCACATTGACCAACATTGACCAACATTGACCAACCAAGTTCAGCGTTGTAAGTGTGCCGTCTCCATTGTTTCTAACAGTGTTCATGTGGTGTGAGGCTTGAAGAGAAATTCCTTTCAGCCCTCGGACTGCATTTTCCCGCAGTACTTTGGGGACCTTATTGAAACCAGGACCGGAGAGGGTGGGCGCCCAGAGTAAAGCAATGCCGCAATAAAGATCCAGCACATGGAAGCACTCACTAATGGATATCTGCTTAGCAAAACCCCAGCGCCCAAAGTCATTGACAAAGAAGTCCTGCCGAGTGGAAGGGAAAGAGAGGCAACTTCATCATGCCGTTCCAAGCTTTCTCAAGCTGCTTTAGCAAAGTTTTAATCTTCAGGAGATCTCACCTTCAGATCTTTCGCTTCCTCAAAGGACCTTTCTGGCACATAGCTTCTATGACGACTCTGAGATGTACTACACTTTGGGTTTAGATTGCTGGCCTGGTGGCGGTCGAGGTCAACGTGCCTGCAACAAAAAAGACACTGGGCACAGCTGTGGCAGCTGGTTGGAACTGTCATCTCTGCTTGGGTGAAAAGATAGCATTTTGCATTGATTTGGTTATAGAATGTTATAGATATTGGTAGCCTGTGAGTACAACTTGTACGCCCGTGAACATTTGAGCAATCTATAGTTTTTGGTTGGTGAGCGCGGAGGAATAGATCCTTGTAACTTGCGCTTTGGTGTTAAACAGTCCCAGAGCAACTGGGGCTCCAAAAGCAAGCTGCTTCAAAAATCTTCAGCCTCTGTGAACAAATTAGCAATCAAATCCACTAAATCAACTGTCAATCGTCATCAGATGTGAGGGAGAAACAGACAAGAACTAGATTCTACTGTAATTAGATGATCGAAATAGATCAACTGCAATTGAGAATGTGTCATGCCTGGTGCCTGCTGAGGAGATGAGAGCCTTCGACAACCTGAGAGTGCAACATATGTCTGGCTGGTCTCGGATGTTAAACACACAGGCATTTGCGCCAGGGAGGTTAACATTAGACTGTGCGGATTGTATGGTATATTCGATTGCTGCTTGTAGAGTGCTGTTGTACCTTCTCATCCAACACACAACAGATCCAACAAGTTGATTGCATAAACACATTGATTTTTGAGTTTTTTTCCCCAAACAGTGTGGCCACACTGAGGGGTTCTTACGGTAACAGTGAAGGCCCGGTGTTCAATCGAGGTGGTCTCGGAAGCGTTCGGGATTTTCCCTGTAAATTTCCGCACAAAATGCCTCTTGTGACATGTCCATGTGCATTTCGACTGTGCAGGCTCGCACAAAACGATGTCCCCGCAGGTGTCCGCGGCCATTTTTCCTGTAAATTTCCATACAAAATGGCTCTTGTGAAATGTCCATGCGCATGTCGCCGGCGCAGGCGCGCACAAAACGAGACACCTCGGACAGAACTCTTGCCAAGAGGGAGGTCGTCAAGAGATCTTGCCCAGAGCCCTCTTATCGAGATCTTGTTCAGAGATCTTGCCCAGAATTTCGACTGCGCAGGCTCGCGCAAAATGCTTGCCGCGGGATTAGCGTCCGGCATTTTCCCTGTAAATTTCCGCACAAAATGCTTCTGGTGACATGTACATGTGCATTTCGACTGCGCAGGCTCGCACAAGGTGTGCTTCCAGGTCTTGGGATCGGTCTTCCTCCTCATCATCGTCCTCCTCAACATCATCATCTTCCTCCTCCTCCTGCTCCTCCTCCTCCTCAACATCCACATCATCATCTTCCTCTCATCATCTTCATCTCATCCTCATCCTCATCCTCATCACCATCATCATCATCACCACCATCATCATCAACATCATCATCATCATCATCACCATCATCATCATCATCACCATCATCATCCTCATCATCACCATCATCATCACCATCATCATCACCATCCCCCTCCTCCTCCTCCTCATCGTCACCATCCTCATCATCACCATCATCATCATCACCATCATCATCATCATTATCATCATCATCATCATCATCACCATCTTCCTCCTCCTCCTCCTCACCATCATCATCATCATCATCATCATCATCACCATCATCATCATCATCACCATCATCATCCTCATCATCACCATCACCATCATCATCATCATCATCACCAGCATCCTCACTATCATCATCACCATTACCATCATCATCAACATCATCAGCAGCATTAACATCATCATCAACATTATGATACATTATCTTTTTACCCCCCGCACTGTTTGGGGCCTGTTGCCGGGATAATTTTGGAATATTTTAACTCAATATTTTTGATAGCTCATTAATGTTCATCATAGCTAAACCGATGCTCGACATAGCTCGACTATAGCACCCCAGCAATCCAGCAATTCATCCTGTAGCCCAGAGGCTCGCGCGCACGGTGTTTGGGCGCCTGCGTGTATTGCAGCTTGGTGGGGTTGAGAGTTTGCCTGAAGTGTTTGTGAGCCAAGTTGCCGCGTCCGCAATGGGGAAATTTAAGAAAAAACGCCTAAATCCAGGCTGGGACTGGCTCAAGCAAACTGGGGTCTGCCAGAGGAAACCACAAAAATTGCATTCTATCATTTTATTCCAAAATGATCATCACAGGTCTCTACCAACTTCTACTTCAATCTCCAGAAGTTGGGTAGGAAGAGAAAGGCAACGACTCCCAATTGTGCCCATCCACTGGAAGAAGTCCGAATCAATTTGTAGGGGGATCAAAAACTAGAGAATTTGGTTGAACAGCTACGCACTTCACCACACATGTTTGTAAAGCATTGCTAGCTTACGATCCAATTTTTTGGAAACTATTTCTCAGAGATTGCAAGTCTAATAGTAAAATTATGTGCATACACATACGTTTACGTTCGATATTTCGTTTTCACGAGTTTCAACTAGTCCACTGCCACTACTGAAAGGCGCCCCACATTGCCATGAGGCTCACACCTTGACCTGGGGCCAATGGACAGATCCACTCTGGCAGGTGCACCAACAGGGCAGTGGTTCAGTGCTTTCAAAACACGGAGCATTGCAATCCAAAGAGATCCAAAATGAGGGAATTGTCAGTACATGTTAGTACTGTATATTATGTAAATAGAATAATATATCTAGAACACATGCAAAACAGTCTTGACACTGATGTGCTTGAAAGAGCTGTTGCAGCTGTTTGAGGGTCCAAAGCAGGCCCAGCTTCCAACCCCCGAAACTTGACAGCATGCCCGTTGAAATTTGCACACGGGGTAAACGATGTTTGTTTTTGTGTACTGCATTTCCCAGCCTGAACTGATGGTTCGATACATTCTACCTTGAACATCAAAATGCAGAAACTTAAGGCGATTTCCAAGCTTGGACACAGAGAGGATTAAAGACATACCACATACCCTTTGACGCTTTGAATCGCTTGTTCTTATTTTTGAAAAACCATGTCGATGCAGCTGGAAGTCTATGCGCTGTCCGAGCATTTGTGTACAGTCAAGTGTGCCTGGGCAACGGAAGTCTCCAGCCTGCCGGCTGCCTGGATTTTTTGGTTGGCACTAATGAACTCGAAATCATAGAACAATTAAAAGTAAAACTATATACGGCAAAGTAAATGATTTTAGTACCTGGCAACACCACTCCTAGTAAGGCTGAGCAGAGGAGGACTTTCACGGTACCGTTCTCAACATGAATCTGTCAGGGTGTCTATAGAGCTGTACTGTAACTTTTCCATGCCTTTATTTATGCAGTCTAAGTGCTTCTAGCATATATGCGTTTTCATTGAAACGATGACAAATGCTATGCTATACAGCAACTGATTCGGATCTATTTAAATGCCTTGGAACAGTGGAACGGTGGTTAAATCTATGAAACAGATCCAACGAAACGAACACCTTGCCCCAAATGCTTTTAGGTCTGTTTCAACTGAACAGCCACAGTTTCTTGATGGTGGCTGTGGCTGTGACAGTGACAGTGGTGAGGTGAACCAGACTGGACTGGGCAGCAACTGAAGGAGGCAATTGAAGAAGCGACGAATTACAAGGAGCTGGTAGGCTAGGTTGAGAAACACAAATAGCCAGTTTGTCGATACTCCATTGTGTGTAATGGTTGCAGTTCATCAAATGTTGCAAAGTCGAGGATTGCCATAGAGGATAAAGTTCTGTCATTTTTACATGTTTGTTGGAGAGTTTGTTGCAGGCAGTCCATCCGTTGTACATGGCCATGTAATGCAGCTCTGTGCACAGCACCATTGGACTCTCCATTCCTCAGCGTGCAGGTTCTCAGCAGCTGGCCGTGGGAACTTCTTTTCTGTCTGACTCTGATCTTCTAAAAGACCTGGATGGCCACTTGTCATGAACAAGTTCATGGCCGCAAATACGAGCAATGCCCGTAGGCCAACTCCCAAAATTACTAGCCTATCGCATTTGCAAAGGAATCATATTCAGTGTTTTTTTTTGCCTAAAAAAACATCAGTCTCGGTCCAGATGTGTCAGTGCAAAACTTAAGACTTTCGTGCAGCTCGCAGAGCGGTTTTCCTGGAATCAGCGGGATGTGTCAACCTGATGGGCTGGTTGGATCGCTACTCATGATTGGCTCCCCATCGCTTGATGGGCCTTTCATTTCTGCAAAGACCCTTCCATGAAAGTTTTAAAGGAGGATATTTGTTGTTTGTTGTTGTTGTTGCTGTTGTTGCTGCTGCTGCTGCTGGTTTTCTTTGCACTTCACGCTCAGCTCAGCATCACTCATTGAAGCTCTACTTAGGTTTGCATGTGTCTCTGACCCGACGTGCTCACCCAAGAGTACGCCAATTACCAGAGGCCAGCAGCGTTTTCATGCATTGTGATCATTGACCATGGTGTTCTCCTTGGCACAACAGAAATTCCGTGTCTAGAGAGAGCAGCCGAGACTTGATGCAGAAGTGTACCATAGCTGCCATAGCTGCAGCTTCAAGGGCAAAGAGCTCCATCAGGTGTGTCTTTTGTCAGCTCAATGCGCAGCTACTTACTTCAACTGGACATGTGGCTGGATGCACCCGGAAAGATGTGGAACACTATGCCATCGATGTTTATCTCCTTCTCTGTTCCTTGAATAAACAGCTTTGATAAAGATTGTTGTTCTCTCCAAACTTGCTCATTCGGAATCACTCGCACTTTGTCAGCTGACGTGAAAGGATATAGTACACTCCCTGTCAGCACCGAGTTTTTGCGTTAGTCCGACCACCTGCGGCTCACTATCTACTCCACCACCCAGTTGTCACAGGAGAACCTCGAGCCATTGGCTTTAAGTCTTCGGCGTTTTGCGAAGAGCCCTGTGCTTGCACCCTGTCATGCCAGATCGAAGCGACATGAGGGCAGCATGAAAGAACCTGAACCTGGAAGTTTGGGTTTGTTCCTTTTTGAACGACATTGGACGAATCAAGACTTTTTTCGTTTTTGAGTGTCTCCGCGCCAGAGACAGAATCTTCTCACACTTGAAGCATGTCAAAAGAACATGACACCAGAAGAATGCATCGTTGAGACGGCCACGAGAGTCACGAGAACCAGGGGTGAGTTGACGCATTTGCTGCGTGCTTTGCTGCGTGCTGCGTGCTTCTTGCATTTGCTGCCTCTTGAAGCATTTCAACGGCATTTCAGGTATGGGTCATCACCAGAGGGTATGTCTTCAACGGCAACCCCGACGAGACTGAGCAGGTCGAGCAGGTGCTCAGGAAGATTCTGAGCGAAACCATCCTGTACCATCCATGCCGTCACCAAAGGCTGAACGTGTGCGTCCATACATAAAAAGGATAAAGCTAGCAGCTAGCACTAGCAGTAGTTCTGGCCAGGTTTGAAAGCTAAGATCAGAGCAATTGCATTACCTGTGCCTCCACACCCACATAACAAACAAACATTTCCATGCAAACCTGTACACCTTTCACTCTTCCAGCGAGTCACTGTAGTTTGAGTACTGCACAAAAGGTTCATTTCCATCAGGTTTTGCAGGAAAATTCAGCAACTTCGAAGAATTGTAATGGCCACATTTGCCTTAGATGGCTTCTATCAGAGTTAGGACCATCTTTGCCCTGTGAACTGACAAGGCTCCTTCGACAGGGCCTTCATTCTGAGCGACAATATGTGACAGTGTAATAATATGTAATAATCACAATTTTGGCATGGAATTTTGGAGTAACTACTGTCAGCAAGGTGGCAGTCGCAAGCCCAGGATAAACCGAGAATATGTGGAAGAAATGGACTGGGATCAATGTGAGGATCAACTCCTTCACGGACACTTAAATTCCGAAATGATGGACGACATGGTCCCGTGGCCTCTCGCCTTTGACGCAGGGAACTGCAAGGAAGTCAAGATATGATATTCAAAGGTATTGTGGTGTTCTCATGTGTTCTCCGGGATGGTCTAGATTTGGCGGATTTGGCCTTCCTATCTTTCGATTGGAATGAATGAGTTGATGATTTTTCATTTACTTTCCTGCCGCCACCTTACTTGTGCGTCCAATGTGCCCTATTATGGCACTATGGCTTATGAATTATGACTCTATAACTCTTCCAAATTTCCTCCTTATGGGCTTCAGTGGAGTCGATTATGGGAAAAAGAACACAATCTGATCCTAAAATCATTTGCATCTAAGAAAAATCATAATCTGATGTGGTAGTGCTTGAGTTTTGAGAGCTGTTACTTGATGGTTGACAGTTGAATCTGATTGCAGTACCGAAGGAAGGCTATTTGTGGAATATCACCAGATGATATTGCAGCAGTCTTGGCTTTGCAGGCGCATCCGTACCATCAGTTGAGGGTTAGTCGCAACATATCCAAAAAAAATTCAGTTTTGCATTAGTTTCACCCTTTGTATATATATATATAAATATGTACACATCTATTCGAAACGTCTGGAAACACTCTGGCAGTCTCTCCACATCCGTAGGCTTGCTATATGTGGATCGGTGACGGCAGCAGTTCTGTCGCTGCTCTTCTGCTGCTGAAGGACAACACGTTGGTTTCCGTCTTTGCAAATGTAAGGGAAGCTACTTGGAAGTGCGTTGCCAGGTGTGCTGTTTCATGCGGATTGTTCTTCTAGTCGGTGAGTTGGACCTGTTTCATCTCTTGCGCTGGGTGAATCTAATATCAAGCTCGGAGTGTGGGTGTATGGGGCTGGAAGCACGGAAGGTTCAATTTGCACACATCTACTAAGAAATTAATCTTCTGAGAATACCACGGATTGACATCTAATTGATCATTTGACCTACCAGTGCAGCTAGACAGGAGCTGTTTTGAGCATTTCGCAGCCGTGGCACCTGTATGATGTGGGATGAGTCAGATGGGAAAGGGACCTTGCAGGAAGCAAATTGATACGGTCTCTGCAGGGACCTTTGATGATGAGACGGGGAAACCGTTTTTTGGTCTGTGTCAGAGGATCTTCAAAAAACGATGTGACAGTTCTGGGCTTCATCTTCACAGGTGAAATCCTTGAAATCCTTGGACTCTAAGGCTGAAGGCTCTTGTGAGTTTGCCGATGCAATGGTGGCATCAATTGAGACTGGAAAGACTTGGGAGGAACTCCAATCGAAGCTCGGATTTGTCGATTAGTCACAAGCTGTAGTGGCCGTAAGTGGCTTGGCTTGGCTTGGGAAACTTTGGAAGACGTGACAGACATGACAGAATTAAAATGAATTAAATGTCTCACAATTTGTGTCAGATTTTGCCCATAGCAGGGACATTCCTACCCGTCTCTTACCCGTCGTTGTGTAGGTTGTATTCATGCTCAGGATCTTCACCAGAGCAACGTTTTATTTGGGGTGCACCACCCCGGTAGACCAACTTCCGTTGGGCGTAGCCTCGCGTAGGCCTCGCGTATGTACCTTCGGGGGAACTAACCTCCGCGTAGGCAACCTTCCAGTCCGCGTAGGCTCCGCGTAATTAGGCTCCGCGTAGGCTTGATTTATAGGGGCTATGTGCCCAAACAAAACACTGCTCACCAGGGATCACCGTCTTCCACGAAGTTCAAGTGGCTTT